AATTGTACTACATTACTTTTAATAAATAAGAAAACATCAAATATGCGTGTCTAAAGTGCAGAGGGTAGACATATAAAAGAGACAACAGGTGAGTATGTGAACATTTTGGTTATTTAGATTTAATGACCTCATGCTGCTACTGTATGTTTTTCAAGTGATGCTATGATGTCATCAACTTAGTTTGCTATTGCTTCATACTTTGCTATTGCTTTATTCCTTTAGTGAACTACAATGTAGTCATTCTCCTGTGGGATGCCTGCCTCACCCTCACATTATTTCATTAGGGGTGAAATACGGGAGACATTAACAGCCCCATGCTCTTAATCAGTTACATCATTTCTAGATAACTTAGTACCTCATTTTGATAAGCAGGCTGTAATGTATAGTATAATGTGTAAAGCAAGGAGGCTGGTATGATTGCAAAGCGGACTATGACAATGATGGGATAAAAACATAGCAATTCCAATACACATTTCTTGTTATTTATTCATTAGTCTTGTGGTTAGGCAATTGCCCCTCTGTTGATCTGAGCAGTTTGGTTGGTTTTAGAAGCTCATAGGAGAATATCATAATGATTCCTAAAGCCACAAAATCTAGCTCATAATGAAAATGTTATTGTCAAGGTGCTGGCTATTCTTTAAAAGGACCCTTCATTCTTATCTAGACGTTTAATGATGTGGTTATATCTCCAACACAAAGAGATCACAATGTGGTTTTTTTGTAAGCTCGCTTGTCACCGTAATGTATTAAAGTGAGTTAAACTTTATTGAACTGATCACGTAGACATAACAGGAAATAGTATCAATAAATAAAGCTGTGATGGATAGTCAAGGTTATGTATATTGAGTGTGTTAGGCTTTTAGGCACATTATCTGACTGGTAATGTCTTCTTACATGTCATCGTTAAAAAAGGGTTTGAGATAAGTTACAGTAATGATGTATACATTTTTAAATGAATCTACTGAGCAACTATAAATACATTTATTGAAAGAGGACCTGTAGACGTTTTAATGGGTTTTTTTAACATGTACATATGAAAAAAATCAGCTAAATGGAAAAAATATGTATGCTAATATTTTAAATAGGGATGCACAGATACCAGTTCAGATACCAGTGCCGATACTTGGCATTTTCACAAGCACTACCAGAGTTGCAGAAGTTGCAGCTGGGACCTGGCTCTGGTGCTCCACCACTGTCCTAAAATCCTTAGTCCGTATTGTTTAGAAAAACTGTCACATGACAATAAACAAAAATTGATCAGTAATTGGCATCTGTGGGGACAAGTATTGGAACTTCTACTTTGTCTGGAAAAAAAGGGTTAATCATTCATTAAAACAGGGATGCACAAATAGGTTGGACTTGATGGACTTATGTCTTTATTCAACCTCAAATACTATGTAACTATGTAACAAATCACAGGAGCCTCGTAACCAATGTTCCCTAAAAATGACAGCTGACTCCTAACGTTTGAGTTTTTCTCTAGTGTAGTAGCTGAAAAAGTATCTGTATTTGTATTTGTGCTTGTAGCAAGTATGTTACTTGGTTTCTTTGCATCCCTAATTTTAAACATCTTATTTTATGTATATTTAATCATTAAATATGTAATAGCGGTAGCCAAACTTACATAATCCCAATTGGGCTTCTTCTGATCTTCTTATCTCACTTGTAGGGCCCTTTATACCTGTGTGGTACGTTAACATGCGGTAACATAGTGCAGCCCACTAATTTTGAATGGGCTACCAATGCACCACAGCACATCGCCAATCATGTGCTACAATGTCTTATCCTATAGACAGATCATACTGTATACAGTCATCAGGAAACAAAGTCTTCTTGTGTAATGAACATATAGTATGTGGCTGCAGATAGCCATAAATAATACAAATAATTAATAAAAAAGAAAGTTATTAAACATTAAACATATAAAATCATTTATATTTAGCTGATTTTTCAAATTCATATATAAAAAGCATAAACATGCTATAGGTCAGCTTGAATCCCTCTTGCAAATGCCTAAAACTGAAAAACAAATGGGTTTTGGGTGGAGTGACCCATTAGTGACAGTGTATTTTAACATAATTTATGGTTTGAGGAGCATACCTTTAAATACCAGATGTCCTGATTACCACTACATACTCCACAACTAAAATTAAACTCCGGGCTAAAATTGGGTTTGTCTTTTTATGTGAATGCTAAAAATGACAGCATTTTACATATTATACATAAAAATACAACAATAATCAAACGTAAATCTTATGAGAGTACAGCTTAACATGGATATCCGAAAACATAGCTAAATGCACAGTTACAATAGATCGCATGAACTGTTGTAGCCAGATACTGCTGTCCATGAGACCTCTCTGCAGACCCCAAAACAGCTTGACCAGGACCCACCCGAGACTGTGATTGGACAATGAAGGAGAAGCAGCATTCTAATAAGATTGTCTCTCTGCTTTTTTCTCTTGTTAGGAAGTTCTCAGTGATAGATGGACAGCACCGTCCAATGGAGTAGATCCTCATTTACTTAGAGTTCTAGCCTTTTGGATTGGTGAATTGAATTGTGCCTTTTTTTTTATCTTCTTGGAGTTTATTTTTAAGGGCTTGTTCACACCAAATGCAGACCAGATCTGCATGAGTTTCTGCACACGCAGTGCAGTGTGTTTTGCCGCGTTTTTGCCGCGTTCTGGGCTGTTTTTGTATGTGTATGGGCTTTCAGTGTGTTCCGGGGCGTTTACATGCATGTTTAGTGCGTTTGCATGCATTCCAGAGTGTTGCAGAGCAGGAAAAATAGGACATGCTGCAGTTTTTTTTATGTGCTCTGGAACTGAACGCTGCGGTGTGAACTAGAGCCCAAAATACCTTTGGAATACATTGGACGCAGTTTTGTTCTGGCCTGTAACTGCTCTGCTCTGCTCCTGTAACGCGCTTGGTGTGAACTAGCCCTAATAAGTGGCAAAGGAAAATGAAGTTATTAAACGTTGATGAAGAACCCAAAGCAGCAAGAGATAAACTTGCATAAAGAGTCTGCTAGGGTAGAAGGCTGTGGCCTCAAGTTAAAAAAAATTAACAAAATAGTGTTTACATGAGCCAGCTTCTATGTAGCAGAGCCAATAGTATATTAATTTACCATTTTATACAAAACACATTAGTCTCTGGAATAGTCATAACTAACAAGGGTATCAGATGAAATGTCTGTTTGGTTTCTCCTAGAACTTTTATTCCATGACATCAGTGTAATTCAGCAAAAGTCAGGCTTTCAGCTAATGCATTTTTTAAATGATACTTTTAATAGGTGTATAAACGTGTGTATTTTCAAAAACCATTAAGTCACATTAAACGTGTGTATGCCAGGCATTATTTGTGTGCACTGTCTTTTAAACAAACTAGACAGGTTTCTGTCAAATAAAGTACTATATTAGAGGATCTCCAGTCTAAACAAAACCTTTTTGTAGTCTCTAACTGTGGAGATGTTAAGATCTCTAAGACCCACTTCACACTATAGGTAATGCATGCATTATGCATTGATTCTGAATGGCACCCCACCACGCATTACCAACAGTTGTGAACTGCAGTGTGCAACAACAAATGGTAGCGCACTACTGTATTGTAGTGTACTGTGTTAAAAGAAAAAGTGCTTGCACCTTTTTGGTGTGTTTTCGTGTTGCTTGAAGGGATTCTGTAATTTGCCCATTCAGGTGGCAAAATTACAGGTTATCTTAAAAAATTGCCCCACACCCACTGATACTCACCTTAGCCATGCTGCCACACTGATCCTTTGCTCGGCCTTAGGAAATACCAAGTACTTCCAAGTATAGAAGAACATGTGACCTGCATACTTTCCTCGTAGGATGCAGTGCTCAGGCTTCAGCGGCCAATTGCCGAGCATAAACACACAAGGAAGTTGAGGAAGTCATGCGTAAGCTCTGACACCATCCTACACAGGTTTTGAACTGTCTGCTTCAACAGATGAATGGAGGTTGCCATCGTACATAAATTCAGTTACTTTCCTATTTCTGATATTATTCTAATAGAAGCAAAATGTCAGCCTGATTAATCATTTTAAAAAACAGCTGTCATATAAGAGAGCAGGCAATTGTTTCTGTCTTCTTAAAAATGCTAGCTGCATGGCTTTCTCTGGCTTCAGAACTTTGAGCCACTGAACACTGAACTGGAATAGACATGCAGCAGGTGTGATTAGAACTTCAGAAAAACAAATTTTCTCCAAATAAATATATAGCTTTAGTGGGCATCCACTTAGTAGAGTTTTATGTTGGTTTAGCTATTGGTCGAAGCAGAAAATTGATAATGGTACATTTTATTGGCTGAGTAGCTACATGTTCACAGATTGCACAGTCCAGGTATCTTTATTAGAGGAAGAGAGAAGAACAGGAGCACCACACCAGAATATAGGAGTCCAGGTCAGAAAACATATTGGTTATACATTCAGTTTCTGCTTGAACCGGTTATTGGAGTAAATATATTTGGACTACAACTTCGGTTGTTCCCTCTTCTTCCAGTTCCAGTCCAGGAAGTATAATCATTCTGTGAATCCAGCTTCACCAATCCATCTGGGGAGGACATCAAAGGAAGGGATTGTGGTTAATAAAAGAGTACAGAATGTTCACTAGAAAAATAAAAGATTTTTCCTTTTACATAACTTAATGTGCAAAGTAAAGGTTCTCTACTACAATAAATATCAACCCCATAGTGCTTGTACTTTGTTTAAAGAAAGTCAACAGCTCTGGTCTCTCCAGAGCAGTCTGAATAGTGCTCAGTTTGTGGATGGATATGATCTTGGGACTCATCATTACTTATAATATAAAGAGTTTCTCATTCGTTTGTTTACTGAAGATAAAAAGCCATTTAAAGTGCTGTATTTCCAGATGTGCATTTGCAAATTATGTCCAAATGTTACATAATGTGTGGTTTTTTTAATTATAGTTTTGTTCTACTGCACTATATAAATAACCTTATAGTAACAGATCACCTCTTTCCTTTAGGTTGGAGGACATACTATGCTGCCTATTCGTTGGATGCCTCCTGAGAGCATCATGTACAGGAAATTCACAACAGAAAGTGATGTCTGGAGTCTAGGAGTGGTACTATGGGAAATTTTCACCTATGGGAAACAACCATGGTACCAATTATCCAATAATGAGGTTTGTGTTTCTATAGGTTACTTACATGTGTCAAAGGTATTATATTCTTGAGAAAGAAAGTAAAATTAACCAATACTGTTACATGAATTACTATTTTAAGTTATGAACCGCTATATAAGCATTCACACTTACAGGTTTGAGATTCTAAGGATTCATTCATGAGATTTTTGAGCTCAACACAATAAAAGAATTTATTGGTATATAGTATCAAGACTTAAATACAATGAACCAACAATCTATTTAACTACAACATACAAAGAAAAGATTTAAACATGCCAAATACCCAGACATTGGTATCTAACCGACAAACAGACATACAGTTAAGTGGTGGAAAGATTATATGTATAGTTACCCATTAATCGTCACATGAGGCCCCATCCTGGTGAAAAGAGGAGGCCAAGCTGCTTTTTCCAGTCATTAATATACCCCAGGTGTCCATAGGGATGCATGGCACGTCTCCCATTGGTTGCCTCCCAAGGCCTAATGGAGATTGGAGGGTTTCCAAGACCCTCTTTACAACTCCACACCCCTCTCTACGATTGGCCAGTCTACTTGTTATTAGATCAAAGGGTCTTGGCTCAGGAAAAACCTGATTACCAGCCCTATTTGCAATTCATTGGGCCTGCCACTCCCCTCCACAGTGATAAACACAACAAAGACTTTATTTCCCTACAAGCTACCCCCACCTATTTAAAACAAGAAATAAAACTATATACATATGTCTTATGAAGATTTGACATAAACTCATAAGGTAACAGTTCCCTCCTTGTGGCCAGTCAGACTAGGCCACACACAAAACGATGATGGTTTATGTCTAATCTCCATTAACCCTCGGAGCATTTGCCATTGTCATACACCAATGTTTTTAACCATATAACTATCACTCATAAGGTAACAAATACATAGAGAAAACAACTAGCAGAATAAATTAACAAAGATTTACAAAGCAGACTTTTGCTCTGTTTTAAATGTTTAAAGCTGGCCACACAGAGACCAGTTTTCATAACATTTAACATCTTATGGTATATAGTGTTATGTAGTTTGTACTATTTTTGGGGTGACCCATTGTAGATTATGATAATTTCCTCTTAACCAGTATTGGATGCCTTTTGGATTATGCTTGATTTAAAAATACTGTATTATCAAGTAGATGTGTATCTATTTCATATTGATGAAATACTAATATACTTCCTTGTTACAGGTGATTGAGTGCATAACACAAGGCAGAGTCTTGCAGCGACCTCGCACTTGTCCGAAGGAAGTCTACGACCTTATGTTGGGGTGCTGGCAGAGAGAGCCTCACATGAGGTTGAATATCAAAGAAATCCATAGCCTACTTCAGAACTTGTCCAAGGCATCCCCTGTATACCTTGACATTCTTGGCTAGACATTCCAGGTTTCACCTGTATGGGCTTGATGAATGAATGTGGTGAACGGCCGCTGAACTCCGTGAAATGTGTTATAACCTCTGACAGTATTATTAACAAAGATGCTGAGAAGCTATCAAAGGGCAAGCAACAAAAACTTCTCCATCTGTACAATACACAGTATTGATATTTGCCATTAATAAGTTGTATCTTTTTATTCTGAGCCTAAATCTTCTTTTACTCTTACTTTTCCTCAGTCTATGTTTGGTTGTCTCTCACAGTTCCTCTTTCTACATGCTTATGCCTTTATGTAACTCAGCATACATAGACAAAGGCCTTAAAACCTTATCTGTTAATCAGCTGGCACGCATGTCTGTCCACCACATCTAACAATGCCTTCTTGTATTCCTGCCTTTGATGTGGATGAAAAAAGGGAAAAAAATATTGTATGACACGGACTTGATGACTTCTGCTGTACATACATATAGACTTTAAATGACTGTCGCTCACTTCTACGTTTTTGGCTATGTGCACTACCAAGAAACTTTTTGGACATCATGAGTATGTGATTGCTATATTAAGGAGACATAACAATGGAGTCAAGTTTAACCATCTACCTAAAGCAATTTGAGGAAATACAATCAATGCATATAAGAAGAGAATAAATCCACCATGCTCTCTATGTGGCTAGTCTTCTATCACCATATAGGCCATATGTTGCCTGTTTGTAACATATTTGTATTCATCTTCTTTCTTAGTGCAGTAAAACAGTATTAGAAGAGATACTATTTGTTTTCAGAGACTGAAATCATCACAATGTGATGGTAAATGTATCTGACAGTGTGTTCAACAGACAATCTGTCATTCACTGGTTTACTATGCCCCTACATGCAGGTAACACAAGCAAAGAGTGCATGTGATGATTGGAGCCTGTGATGTCCAATATGCTTGGGTTGTTTTTGTATGGAGATTGACAAGTGTGCTAAGATGTATTAAGAGGTGATAGCCTTGTTTAAGAGAGTCTATTACTTGTCCTCTGTTCTGGTAACAGAGTCAGATGGTACAACCAAAAGATGTCTTGAGTGCACATTCATTGGTTGGTTGGCTACATTCATCTTTTTTTCTTTTTTTTTCAATCCGTGGGCTCAGGATTGAAGTTTATATTTCTCTATATTAGATTGTAAAAAGAGGAAAAAAAATTACACAAATGTGTCAGCCTTTCTAAAGATAGTTGTGATATTTTACTCAGAGGCAGCGCATGCTTATCTATGTTACCGGCATGATGTATCCAACTATTGAAAGATGTTCCCAGATATACAAGCAGGAGAAAAGCCTGTATCACAGTTACATTTGCCAAAGTGTAGAGAACACTTGTTCCTGTGAGGCCCTGTTTTAGCTTTCATGCTGTCCTCTATGCTGTCCTCTATAGAGGATAGTCAGTCATTGAAGAATGTAGTTGCACAGTAATGAAAACTACCACTTGTACAGGTTCTTGTAAATAAATACTGTATGTTGACAAAACTGGTAACTGTAACATATATTTGAGATAAAAACAATTATATAAGTATTAGCCTCTATGAGTGAGGAAAGAACTTATTCTCAGTTCGAGGTCTACTAATGATTGTAACACATCTCTATCACGGGGGAAAACACATTCGAAAAGTGAAATAAGGATACACGTTCAAATGTGATTGTGCTGTTGCTTCAGAGCATTGTTAGAGGTTCCTCAAATCTTTATTTACTATGTATAATGTTTCACTCCCCGATTTGTAAAGTACAAAAAAAGAAAGATTTGTGAATATTTGCTTAGCTGGCAAGATGGCCGCCAGGTAAAGTCAAAACTCATAGCTTGTGAAGTGAGAGGAAACTGTGGGAGCATCTGTCAATGTTTTGTATTTTCTAGCACATGCCTATAAAATAGTTCTGCTGCAATAGTTTTACTTTTCCTCTATACTTTCATAGAACGAGACATACAAGATGCACACACTGGCATTACATGATGCTAGTACTGGCATCATAAAAAATAAACCTCTGACTATCAGGGCTACACTTCAATTGCCTTGAACTGATGCTGCCGTTGTTCCTTGTCCTTTAAAATAATGGGGCTTATTTAATAACATGGTTTAACAAGCAGACTAAACCATCTTCTTTAACTGCTGTCAGTACATTATTATTCTATTCTATATTTTAAAGAACAATTATATGCTGTAAATCATGGCAGCCAATCAGGTATTAGCATTAGTGGTGATGTAACGAAAGCGGGTATCTGATTGTCTGCCGTGGTTGTGCTATTACAATAGGTTATTGAATAAGTAGGAACAGTGCACCTGGGGGATGTATAAGTACTAAAACTGTGATTATATTGTTGTCCTACGTGTTATCATTGCTTCAGAGTGCACCTTGGGCTTAAACATTCTATGAGCCATCTGTAAAAATGAGATAAAGGAATGTGGTATTAATCAAGTATTAATGCAACAAAATACATTTTTTACATATTGATCAGCCACTGAGTTACAAAATATTATTCTGAATGTAGTTCGATACCACTTATTAGTTAATACCATGAATGCTTTTTGATACATATATTCTTGTTGTACTAACATGACAAATGGAAGCAAGAGGAGATGTCAGTCTTTGGTGATATTTTTAGTTCTTTTTCACCATTATGTTGTTTTTTAAAACGGATCCACACAGCTCATGTAATGAATTTATGGGTCTTATTAAAGGAGAGCATACTCAGTTCTGATCTATGTAATGTTGCAATACATATGAACATGTTAAACTGAAGTGGCTTTACTTTACTGGTGGAAAATTTCTGAAAAATCATGTTTCATCTAAGAGAACATTATCAAATGTTCAAGTTATCCAGGGGGCACAAGAAACGTTTTAGAGCATCATAGTTAAATATTGTATAGATAAGACTTGTTGTCTTGGACCTTAGTGTTTAACTTTCATTTGAACTTTGGTGTGGAAGTCCATTCTCAACCACCCACAGGCTTGACTCTGTGATCAGCATACTGTACAATGTGTAGGACCCATGGGAGTCATATATGTGTGATATATAAAGACATGTGACTGAGTACCATCCATGACTGAGTACAATGTGTACTCTGTAAAGTGGATTTGTCAGTATAACAATATGGTAGCTGCCAAAGTTGATTTGTGTTTAAAGGTGCATGTTCCAGGACAGTCATCCTCATCCTGCTAAACTATCCCTCAAGTCACCTGGAATAAGTATGTAGGTTGAGAATGCTGATTCACTTGTTGCAGGTAAACAACACCCTAGTTTGGGAAGCAAGGAAAATGATAACAGCCATTGCACATTTAAAATAAAGTTGATGAGTGGCAGTTCCTATTTATCTTGAAATGTTCCCTTTAGTCATCAACAAAGTGCCTCATCATATGTATGTTAATAATAAAGCTGAACTCCATGCTGATATTTAAGAAAAATCTTAAGAGAGTGGATCATAACCCTATTTCAGCAAATCAGGGCTTTATTGCTTCGCATAGTTCTGTCCGTCTAAAACTAAAATATTCAAAACAGGAGTAGAAACAAAGCAATTACCTCATTAGTGTGTTATTTCTCCTTCATTGCCCAGTTTCAGGCTGAGTAGGACCAGGCTGTGTTGTTTAACTGCATAGTCTACAAGGAAAGGACTTGTACTATCTAGAACGGGTGCCCGGATCACAAGTCTAGTTTAGTAGAACTAAAGTAATTTGGAAGGTAAAACAATTCCAATATGTGTATTTTGGCCATGTATGTATTTCTCTGCCTGGATTTCAGCTTAAAGACTATACACACTTTGTTTAAAAATTGAATTAAATTATACCATTTATTTGCTTTTATCAATGGCTAAAATGTGTTATACAATTCTGCTGTTGCTGCTATCAATATGGTGGGTTGAGTAAACCAGTCTGGATTATCCACTATATTCTGTATGTGTTTGTGGTTTGACATTTTTTTAATAGAGAATATTGTTTATAATGTGCATTCTTGGGAATGATTCTAGCTAATTCAAAGTGTATCTAAAGCCGAAAATTAAAATGTAGCTTGCAGGTCCTAAGTCGTGTTTTAAGTCTAGTCATGTCTGCCTCCAAAAATACAGTTAAGAAATTTGCATATTATTCACAGGACTGCCAGTTAAAGATAAAAGGAAAGAAGGTGAAGAATAAAACTAGTGCAGCCACCACATCTAAGGACTGTGATATATGAAATCTTTGTTTTAGGGTTTAGATGCACTTTAATGAGGTATAAGCAACAGCAGCAACGATAAGCACATTATTTGTAATAGTCACAGATTAAGGAACACAAAAGTCCACCTGTCATCCATGCAGGGGAGAAAAAGCTATGATATCATTTAAAGATGTGTCAGACCTAAAAATGATTGAAAAGATAGGAAGACTGGCTTGAAATATGCAAGCCATTAATCAAGGTAATGTAAAGAACCATTGTGCACCTTAACTCACAGCAAACAATTAGATCTTTATTTTTTTATTAGTTTAGATCAGTCAAATTAATGAAAGCTTCTTTCTCATTGGTTGCTGTGATCTGACAGATTTTAGAGGGCCACTGGACTGTGAACATTTTTCTCTGTCTTATAATATATCCATGTAACCTTTGTGATGGCTTTAGCCAATCTGGATGAGTGACGGGTCCACCTAAAGTGAAATAAAACAGCCACTTCAAGACTCTGCTTCATATAGAATGTATTTGGTTTCATTTCTAAATGTGAAATTGCTATTAAATGGAATGGATTTCAAGTATTTATTTGCTCAATGTATTAAATACTTTATTACAGCTTAAATACAGTGACCATGTAAAATTAAATGCACATGTTACCTATGACATATCCACGGTTTCATTTTTCTAGTATTGCGCAAGTGAAAAAAACAAGTAGCACAGGCATATATTGTTACAGAGAGGACACATCTTACTTCTAAAACCAAATTAAAGACTTAAATTTTTTATCCCTTGGTATACCTGTAGCACCATATGTTATGATAGTTAACTGTTTTGGCTTGAAACTTCCTTTAAATAGCTTTTTGTCCTAGTGGAAATGCGCTTCCCGACTCTCACTCCAGTGCTCTATGCTCGCATGGATGAGTAATAGCCACACCCCTCATCACCTGCATCTTCATGTAGACATGTAGTCATGCAGTGCTAAGGAAGGTAGCGGGTGTGTCTGACCAGGTCTGTTAGATCACAGAGTGCACTGGGGCGCATGGCCAGACTCTGATTAATCATGGACTGTCATTTGAGGCATGCTGTACAACTGTTATACTGTAACAATATACTGTATATTGTTAGTATAATGTCTACTTGACTGAATATCTATTTCTGTGACTTCAATTGGGCTTTAAAGAGATCTTTTGAAAATGTATTCTGCTTCACCCTGGCCCACAGTAAAGGAATATATTTATTTAAGACTTTTCCATTGCACTATATCCACATGATACCAGCACAGTTACACAGTGCTGTGTGTGTCTACATGTTCTCTAAAAAAAATATGTTGGTATGTTGTATATTTCTCCCCTCATGCTTAGTATCCATATTAGTTTATGTAAAAGTAGCCTTGCAGTCACTGCACGCCATTGGGGAAAATGTATAGTCATGCACTTATGTGCTGTTAGCACTGGTTCTAACAAAAATGAAAAAAAAAGGGAGAAACTCCTTAGCTGCTCCCATAGTAACACAGGGTGGCTATTGCAGAGTT